ACCAAAGCGTTCGTCCAAAAGCTCGACCACGTCACGCGTGCAGACGTACGTGTCATCATCCGCTTTGAAGAGATAGTCAAATCGCCAGTGCACCACCGCCCACCGAATCGCGTCCAGCACTTTGGCGGAGAGATCATCTAAGCTGTCGTGCGTGCGGTCCAAGCGCAGCACATCGCCATCGACAGCGCCCTCATTGGGCGGCGTGCTCTCGAACTCGTTGTGTGCAGGGTTGCCGACGACGAAGAGTGAGCTGGCGGGCCCTGAGACACTTGCAGCATGCGCCATGCCTTGCGGCGTACGGCGCCAACGCTGGTGGCCGACGAGAACACCAGGATGAGCAGCCTGTGATGAAGGTGAGGACGAGCTGCCGTGGGTGCATTCGGCATACTCGCAGCGACCTTGGCAGCGACCCACGGATGAGCAGCCTCGGCGAGCATTTTGGTCCTGCGAGCATGAAGTCGAATTGGCGAGAGACTGCACCCGAGGGTTTTACCGAGCTGCCAACCCTATTCCCGCACTGTGCGCAAAAGACCACACCAACCAACCAACTGATACCGGGCCCGAGTGCGCGAAGTGCGGGACCAGCCAACCAGCCTCCCCCCCCCCCCCCCTCTGTGAAAGCACGAAGCAATCTCTCGGAAGTGTCCGCGGGCCGCGAGATCTGCGAGTGGCCTAAGGCTGGGCGACCATCCCGGAGAGCGAGGGGTAGGGAGCGCGCCTCCCCCCTCACCACGCATGTCAGGCGCGGCCGCCGCCGAGCGCGGCGGCCGCCCACAGGCCTCGTGGCCGATTTGTGTTTGTCTCGCAAGAGGAGCGCATTCTCAATTCAACTATTCCTCTTCTTCGAGACCCTCTCGCGCTATGAAGGCGGGCGAGAGGAGGGAGGGGCCCCTTGCAGAGGACCCGAAATCACACAACATAACCGAAGGGTTTCTCGCTGAGGGAGGGTGCGTAGAGGATGTAGAGTGTAGAGCGCTGTAGAGCTGTAGAGATGTAGAGCGCTCTGGAGCGCTGTAGAGCTGTAGAGCTCTACAGCCGGCGCGCGCGGGACTTTTTGATGCCGATATAGAGAAGCGCTGAGCCTCTTTTTGGCGTGAAATATCTACAGATAACTCTGCAAGAGGTTCCAACT